ATAGACTTTGGAGTCTGTACGGCTGCCAGTTAAAAACAATGGGCTTGCGATAGGCTTATGCGACCATGCAAAAACAAGCTTGTAACAAGCCTGAAGTTCTGCGACCAAAGCCGGTGGAGTTTCTTGATTCTTCTATCCATGACCATGTTCCTTCACTTCTCTCAGGCGTTGAACAGCTCAGACAGGTTGGTATACCTTCTTCCCAATACCGTTTGTCGCGTTTCATTCTAAAAGACATCAAAGAAGCATGAACGGCCTCCGAGAATAACCGAGGCTGGTTGTTGTGGGCATTACCAGCTCCTTCGCATTAATAGCACACGCCTATGCTGGCAACGTCGACTGGAAGGTGCCTGAGCTTCAAAGATCAGAGGCTTAAAGGTCCTCACGCATAAGGGGGGCAGGTACGCATGAAGCCCCCCCACCCAAGGAAGCCAAGGAGATGAAGCGAGTTCGGACTGTTTCTGAAGATCAAGACGCGAGTGAGGTAGCAGGGGTCCTTCTAGCAGGAAGCGCCAGGTGAGGGGTAGCTTCTAATTCTCCAAAAGTACGAAACTAGACCTTCCAACTTCCCTGTGTTCAGCCAAAGTACCCACGATTAGCAGCCCTATAACTCCACTTAGGGGTACTAGCTACCTGCATCTCTACAACATCCCAGTTTCCATATCATGTTCCATCTTCTTTTAAAGTTCATTCTCCATCAATCTCATATAACCCCACTCAACGTTATTAGGAGCTAGATCTTTGAAGTGGGTTATAAAAAGGTGTTTAAGTGGACCCCATAAAGGACGTTGTAGGTGATCATATAGGGGACTCCATAATGAGGATTATGTAAGGGTTTTTATAGGGGACTACTATAGCGGTTGTTAAGGGGGATACTAGGAGTTTAGACTATGGCTATGGCTCATGAGGTGGGCGGCATCTTTGGAGTTGCGGGCATGGCAGGAGCGTACATTGGCGGAATTCTCGCTGGCTTTGTCCCGGAGCATATATTGCTCTGCTTGTTTGCCATCATGACGCTTGCAACTGGATGTCATCTTTTGTATAATATTTTCATTTTACCGCAGGGTTAGGCCAAAGCACCTCAAACCACGTCAGAGGTTCCATAAATCTATCGGTACAGCCAAGCCTTGAAGCCACCTCGTGGTCTGCCAGTTGACAAATGGAGAAGTTTATTCCTTCAAGGTCAAATAGGGTTCCTATTTGCAGTCTGCTGAGCATTTCCGACATCATACCGCTGAAGCAGGCAACCGCCATTGCGATGCTGTACAAAGATGCACAACCTGCCACAGCCTACCAACCTGTCGCGCACGACTCCAATGAGGAAGCCAGTGCTGATGAAACTTGGACATCACATGGCTCAGGGCATCATGTAACTACTCCTATAAACCCTTAGCCTAGTTTCCTTGTCATTTCCATGTTCTTTGCCATTTGATTTTCCAATAAGTATCGAGGTGGTATATCCCCAAACCCCAGGCTTATGCATGACGCCCTTAAGGGTCAAGAGGTCAGGGCTTAGTCATCTCTACTCAGGGCCTGAGACCCGTCACAGATGCTGCTGACAGCTGATGGTTTTTTAAGAAGATTTAGGATGTCCTTAAAGGGGGGGTGGTCCAAGGGGGGTAGGTAACCTAGCAATCCTCATTATTCCCTTATACTCCCTAAGCTTCCCCAAGGTTCCCCGAGGCTCCCTTGTGCCCTCCCCCCTTGAACCACCCCCCCTGTAGGATCCTATAAACGATTGCACGCAAGCGTGATGCAAAAAGGGATCTGGGATCCACTGGCTTCTAGCTTTGAATGGCCCAAGCCAAGAAGAAGCCAATAAACACCTATACTCCAGGACCCTTCTGGCATCCTTAATTAATTGGGATTAAATGGCCCTTCATAGTATGAACTTAGGCCTAAATAGAGGGTAGTTGGAGGGTCTAGGCTGTTCTGTACTCGTCTAGTCTCTTGCGTGAGGTTTGCACGTATCTGCCCAACCTCACTAACAAGGGGCCCCCCTCCACCAGTATCCGACTAGTAATTTTAAAGGTCAAACGAACTACGCGGCTACAGACTGGTTCTGAGCCCGTGCAAAGGGCATGCGCAGTCCATTTTTTTCTGGAGCAAATACCTAACATGTCATGTCCCAGGAAAAGGATTTGGAGAACTCGTCCCGCAGCGAAAAGAGTGTGCAGGCTCGGCAGATCAGAGAGGGGGTAGGGAGGTTTGGGTTTAAGGTATAGGGGTTTGAGTTTGGAGAGTCTTGGGTTTAAGGTTTAGGGGTTTTGAGTTTGGGGTTGATTGAGTTGGAGTAGATTTGTTGGGTGCGTTTGGGTGAAGCTTATGATTTTACTATGTAAGGCCCTTGTAGCTGGTAGTTAGCTGAGTGGAAGAGCCCGCTATGTAAAAAAAGCTTGAAGAGATTATGACTCTGGTGTCTGATCAGAATCGGTCACCTTCTTCGGCACCGTAGAAAAGCTGCAAGAGCTTGAACCAGGAGTGTTTAGGGTTTAGGGCCTAGGGTTGAGGATTTCACGTTTAGGGTGAGGGTTTAGGGCTCCCCTATGGTCATGCAGGGGGAGGCAATCTGAACGCCCTCTCTGTGCATCTGAAGAGCAGATGTCTTAAACAGCTGTCGTTCCTATGCTGTGCGCTTTGTGCTTGCCGCCTGCAAAGCCTGCAAAATGTGAATTGTAAAAGCTCTGTACGTATGGTAAGGTGTGGTACTTTACAGATTTTATGTGATTCTGCGCAGCACCCCCTACCAGCGCCCAAAACTTTTAAGTTTTCGGTATGGTTTTTCTACTGACATACATGACGCGGAGCGCTTCGTCTCCAGATAGTTCCTTCACGATCCCTCATAAGAGCCCTTACAACTCAGGCACATCCCTTTAAGGGGCCCGCTTTTGGAGAAAGCATAAGCCCAGTATGACTACTGTATGACTTGATCTGTTGACTATACAAGGTAAGAAGAATCTCGAAGTCAGCTATAGTTGGAGCCCCAGGGCTCTTTCAACATTCAGCCCAACCGTGATGTAGCTCCCCTAATATCCCCTTTGCATAGCTCTCAGAGCATTCTGAAATCATGCCTCCCAAAGAGGCTCAGAGTTTGAAAGCCTCTGCCCAGCCAAAATTTTGGAAAGGTCGCTGAGCTGCCGCTTTGGAAGATCACCGGCGAAGGCTTTGTGGTGGGTCTGGTGACTGGCATGGTTGGAGCTGGAGGCGTGTTGGATCTGCTGCTTTCAAACAAAGGAATCTTCTTGCCGTGGTTTGTAGAGAACATATTCGGTTGCTATACAGACCAATTGTATCGGAGGCGGCGGGAAGATTCAAGGGGCTAGCGTTTGCTTGATTTTTTTTGGACGTGTTCCGAGCTTGCTTTTCTTTATAACCAAGTATTCAACTACCTCTGTTTAGGAATAAGTACCCACTATAGGGGCCATACAGCCCCAATGAGGGTACCAGGAGGGTCCTGGCCCATTGGAAGTGATCAAACAAGACACAGCCTTTCGAAATGAATCCCATGCCTCAAGCAGGGAAACAGGGAGGCTTAGGGTTCAGGGTTCAGGATTCGATTCAGCTCTGTTTAGTAGTAGGTTTACTAGGTTGCCATGCCCTGAGTAGCTTTAAACTAGTATAGTCCTAAGATATCCCCTAATAGGAACGCATGTCCATTAACGACATGGGAAATATGTACGGTGGCTGATATACACATTTACACCATCAGAGCTACACCTCAGACCTGCAACCTTTGACGGCATGAGAAGCGTGTAGGGATTAGGGATTTAGGGTTCAGGGATTTGGGGTTTAGAGTTTAGGGGTTTAGGGTTCCAGGGTTTCAGGGTTTAGGGTTTGGGGATTAGGGGTGTAAGATTTAGGTTTAGGGGTTTAGGGTTCAGGCGTATAGGGTTTCAGATTTGGGGTTTGGGTTTTGGCGGGTAAGCAGCATCGAGGCGGCTTTCTGGTGGTGCCAGCGCTGACTCTCATGGCCGGGTTATCCATGTCCTCAGCGAGCCTTGGCTCTCCAGCTTTCCCCAAGAGTCCATGTACTTCATAATAGTGAGAATAATAGTAATAGTAGCAAGAATAATAGGAGTACGTGTAATAATGATAATAGTCATAAAGCCTGTACAAAATTTTCTAGTACCCAGAACCCAAGTACTTAATTCTTGGGTACATGGACCCTTTGAGTTTTGCAGCTTCTCAACGCACCGGGTATCTCAGGGACCCCAGGGATTGGGGTACTCTACAGTATGGTAGGGTGTAGGGTGTAGGGTATGGTAAAGGGATTGTGTTGGGATACTCTGCATTCATGGGAGAACCTTGTCGTGAGTTCGCCCTCCATTGGAAGATCTTGAGCAGGTTGGGCGGGGCTGATGGGGATTGTGCTGCCATTCACTGAACCCAAAGGGTCCATGCTGTAGCTATATTGCAGCTATATAGAATGTATACTTGGCCCAAAGGGGCTCCCATATAATTACTTCAGGGCTACATGGACCCTTTGGAGAACACTTGCTCAGAGTTTTGCAGTGCTGTGTAGGAGCTTGCAGAGTTTCATTAAAATTTCTTTGGGATGCTAGTAGACCCGTGATTAATAAACCCATTCCTTTTAAGGGCCTAAATATTAGGATCCCTACTGTAATTCCGATGAAGGGGAGGGGGTTTATTAACCAGGGGTTGGGGTTATAGGAGAAGCGGCGCGAGGCTGCGGAAGTGGTAACAAGATGGGGACGTTAACAAGGCTAGGCATGAATCCCAAACATACTCCCCATAAGCCCTATAGTAGTTTCCATTTTGTTTTCCATGAATTGTCCCTTTATAGTCCTTATATTTATACCCTATATTATATGAATCCCTGTTCCTGCACGTGCTAGTGTCTGAGCTGCCGCTAAATCGGTTTTGAGTTGACGTGGATCCGGCAGTCTGAATACCGACAAAAAGGGACCTCCGCAGCCTTGTGCCCAACCCTGAACCCTAAACCCACAGCACAACATGAGCCAAGGATAGGTACTTCTCTTATGGTTATTGCAATGAAGTGCCTTGCGGGCTACCTGGGCCATGCCAGTCACGTGGCGATTGATGTCACACAGCCATTGTTCAGCAAAGGTCTTCTCTTTTTTGCCCTGGAGAGTGCCATTTTTGCATGGAGACATTGCGTGCATTTGCTGGGATCTGTTGTGTGTTTTCTTTACCATTGGGAGCTTCTATAAGTCTAAGCCCAAGCAATACAGGCATGACCTGGTCCCAGTTTTCAAAGCCAAGCGTTAAGCTATCTCAAGTGTAAAGCTCGGACTGGATCTTTCCAAATGAGGGTCGGGATGGGGAGCAAAGTTAGAAGAAGAAAGAGAGCAACCCTTCCTGGAATTCTGTGTGCTTTTCAGTCAAGGTCAAGCTGACATTGATTGTTTCCTCCAGTGCCGTGGTTGGGAGCTTTCTGGGTGGGTATCTGACGGAATTTGTTCCCCAGCACGTTCTGCGCAAGGCATTTGCGATATTCGTGCTGACCATCGGCCCCTGGGTCATGGTTCGGTTAGATTTAGCGATTTGATGGTTTTCTGCCTGGTCCGGCGTATAGAAAGAGCACATGTGCGCACAGCGCAGAAGCTTTTCCTTTCGCTGGGTTACAGCTATTACGCTGAGGTTGCTTGCAGCTGTGGAAGGAGTCGGGCAGCATCCTGCACTGATACAGCCGGTCGCAGAAGGATCTGGGGTTTCCGGTTGCTCGCCACCAAATCGGCGGTGTTTCCCGTCGTCGGTTGTTCAAGCGTTTCGTGCCCTATGCGTAGTTTCCGAACTTCTTTTCCATAAATAGCCCTAAGGGTCCAAGGACCCAAATAATAGGGGCTTTGGGCCCAAATTCCATAAATGTTATAGTATTCGGGCCCTCAAACCCTATTATTTGGGTCCTTGGACCCTTAGCATAGCCTTTCAAGCCGCAACTAGCAAGCTTCAAAAAGGATCCCAAGTTTGGAAACTGTCGAGACACGCTGGCTTGCTGTGCATGCAAAGCATTACGCACGCAGGCAACTCGTAGCTGCTTGAAGCTTTGACTTCAAAGCTGCTTCGTGAGTAAAACAAAGTCCGCCCAATAAGAGTTAAATGAGATCCTTAAAAGGGGGTTATAGAGGGATTATATAGGGGAATTCAACCGGGGTTATTAAGGGGGATACTAGGAGTTTAGACAATGGTTCATATGAAGCCTGAAAATCCCCGGAGCCAAAAGCCCATGCAAACATGATTCAACATGTTACAGCGCATTCAACATGTCCAAAAACAATCGGTGTTCTAAAATTCTCGCTGGAAGTGGAGCTGACCAAGAGCCTGAGTTACTTCCGTATTCTTCAAGCCTCCCTGACACAGCTTTGGGAAGCTGAGCCTGCAACAGAACCCTAAATCTTAAACGTTAAGCCCCAAAGCCAGCTTGGGAAAAAAAACGCGGATCCTATACAGCTCAAAGCCCAAAGTTTCAGGACTCTCTTCTGCTCCATGCCACCCTGGCGTCTTAGAACTTTAGGGTTTGAGACCTGGCGTCCGAAACCACAAGGCCCTGAACGCCAGGCCCAAATTGCCAAGAGAAGCCTGTTTTACAGGCCTGAATAATTGCCATCAGTAGGGTTTAGGGCTTTAATCATATGATTCTTCTGTTATCATCCTCTCGTAGCCATACTGAGTTAAACACCCCCAAACGCTGTTCTAAGTGTTCACACTTCTGGCTAGTCCCCAGTCCGGAGTCCATGTGTGACAAGGAACAGGCACTGCGCACTTGCCTGGGAGCCCTCTCAAATCGAAATCCGAGTCATACTGGGGGATATCATCAAGAAAGTCGGGCTCCCCCTACACCCACCCACCAAAATGGAAACTCCAAACCTTGAATGCGCCTCGTGTGACGCGCGTTTTGAGACTCTATCCAAAAAGGAAGCTGCTCCGCAATGCCACCACCCTAACTCTATGGACCAAGAAATCCTGAAACTCTACATAACCCTCAAAATTCCCTAAACCCCGCCCTAGACCCAAAGCCCTGCAGGGTCTGTCGATGATTTGCTGGCAGAGCTGCTGGAGGACAGGAAAGCCTTGCGTCCTTTACGGGATGATATGCCCAAAGAGCCCATGTATGTATGTAGTATATACTCAGGGCCCCAAGGGGTTCGCGGAAATCATTACTTCAGGGGTACATGGACTCTCTGGAAAGAATGGAGGATGACATGGACCAGAGAAATGAAACATGAAGTGGAAACAGGATGTACCTGAGGGGTTTAGGATTTGAGGTTCTTGGCCGTAAGCGTCTATTTGCAGAGGCTTTCAGGGATTGGGGTTTGGAGGAAGTTTTGTACCATTTTCTGGCATGAGTTTAATGCTGCAAATGAGGAATTCTAGTTGTCTGCATATCCTAGATGGTATTCTTCCTCCACGGTAGCCCCCAACTGGGCTTTGTGTCTTTAGGGTCATCACTTGTGTACGACAAACAGTTTGTTCCCTGTACCAACTGCCAAGATTTCCCCTGTTCACTGGTAGGGTCAACGGAGTTGATGGATAGCAAGGGATTTCGGGCTCATGATGTTCAGGCTCAGAGTCTAGGAGTCAGGAGGAACTCTAGACCTTAAACCGTGGGAAGACATTGCTTTGCATGGGGAGCCCCCCTGCCCAGAAGCCTCCTGGCGCATCTTGGCTCCAATGCACTTGTACTTGAAAAGCTGCCTGGAAAATAACCTTTTGGCCTAGCCAATGAAGTGAACCCAGGGCCCGGGTTCTTTTCAGGTTTCGTCACATATATGTCTACAGATATATTTACTGGTATTCCTGATACCACAAGCTTCTTCTTGTTATTCTCAGCAGGTCAGAGGATAGCCAGACCCAAGGCGAGGACCGTCTCCGCTGTATGTAATCAGTGCAGTTCCCCTAGGGGCATGGTACCTCAAATGTTAGTGTGTAGATGTAGAGTGTGAAGCGCGATATAGTGGTCATCATTAGTGGCAACTCCAAACGAGGGACCCATAATTCTTCCACACCCCTACATGAGCTACTGTCAATATCAGGCTCATTCGGGGCCGTTAATAGCGGGCATAGGGGTCCTTCCTGTGCTTTAGTGTGGCCCCTCAAATAGTCCCTAGTAAGGCACCCATGTGCATTGAACAATGTAGGAAATCTTGACTGTAGCCCACATGACCCGCATCCCTAAATCCTGACGTCACCAAGCAGGACGGCTTCCGAGTGGACACGGTGAGCTTCAACGTCGTGGCTTGACGATTTCGATTCATGTTGAGGAGTTTGCAAACAATGAAGTAAGGCACAACACTTCTTGCAGGCCTATTGGCCAAAACAACTTTTCCTCCCTTTTCAGAGCATTCTTAGTCGTGCAGGGTTTTTCGCATCTGCGCTGGGTCTCAAAGAGGCCATGAACGTCCACGCTCGCCGGGGAGCTGTCGAAGATGCCACGCGACTCTTCGAATCTCGGAGGCACTAAGATGCGGGGTGGGGGGCGGGGGCTTCTGGGTAGAATGATACCTTACACTCCAAAACCTGAAACCCTACTAATACTTCCTAACCCCCTTCCTTGTGCAGAAAAGCTCGACATTTCAAGTAGCAGCTGCGCTGTCAACATTGTCATCAACTCGCCAAATCATGACTAAGGTTTCATAGAAGGCTTCAAGAAAGACAGTCTACAGCAGGCAAGTTATTCTCTACCCAGGCCCTCCTTTGTAGTTTTTTGGATAGTGGACTATAATCCCTTACCAAAAACCATAACCAATGGACCAACCCCAACAAAAACAGGTACATAGCAGCCCTTTGGTATACCAAGCCTCCAGCCAACTCCTTGCCAACGAACAACTCTGCAGTTCCTTTTTTGGGTAGTAGACTACAATCCCTTACCCCAAAAACACAGCAAATCCAACAAAATAAGTACATTGGCCAAGGAAAAACTTCACCACGCCGCTCTTCAGCCGGATGTTGTCAGCTACAATTGCAAACTGGCAGAAGCTGAGCCAGGGTGACAGGAGGGTTTCAACTTATGGTCCCCCTTAAGTAGATAAAATATGGGGTATAGGGTTTAGGGCTTAGGGTTTAGGATTCAGGGTTTAGGGTTTAGGGTCTGTAGTCCCCCTCAAGTATATAGAATATGGGGGGAGGGGGGGGTTATGGGGATCTTATTATGATATACCCAAAGCCGTCTTCTATCTACTGAAGGGGGACTATAGTAGCTGAGTTGGTTACGCCTAGCCTTTTTGTGATATGGCTTCAACAAAAGTATACTATCAAGCAGTGAGTTATGGAGCTTCCAAGAAAGCTATTTTTGATAGCTTTGGCATGCCCAAGGGCATACACAGGGTAGTAGAGAGGTCTTGATGTGGGGCAAGAAAGGCAGCAAAGCAGCTTGCATGTCAAGAGATGTTGAATTCACATCTCCCAACAGCCAACCCTTCACCCTTAGATCTTCTGTTTGTACTGCTTGCCAACTCGGGATTGGTGATCGTATTGGGCCAGCTTTGCAGATACTTTGCTGCTGGTCTTTTTTACACCTTTTCCAAAGCCTTTGAATAAACGCCCTTTTCAGACATTTCCCCAAGCCTTTGAACAAACGACTATGGAAGACTGCATAAATCTTGCGCAGCTGTACAGCCTTGCAAGTGGCAATCAAACCTTACCTTTGTTGGTCAGCATCTGCCAAGGCCTGCTGAACGCCTGCGCCAAAGCCTCCAATGCTCCGCAGGCTGTAGCTTGCCAGAAGGTATTCAGAGACAAAAGGCTCATATTTTATGGGCTCACTGTATGTAGGACTTCGGCTGCAGGGTTCTTTCACACGGATGGCCATGTCATGATTTCCTGGTTTTTGTCGGTCCTTTGTTTCTGCCATTTTTAAGGGATCCCGTGAAGACTTTGAGCATGTTGTTGCGTTAGAAAGACAGACTTGAGGGTACAATGTTTGCCCAATCGTGAGGTCACATCTGGTGAAGGCGCGCGGGCCCCTCTTGCTAACTCAAGGCTCGATTTGTTTTTGTTGAAGCGACCTGCCTCTTCTGTGCCTTGCAAGTTCGTCCTGTCCAAAAGACGAAGTCGAAAATATGCATTATTCATGAAAACAGTGAAAGATTCGGTTGAGAACCCACGCTGTCAACCAGCACCCTCCTGGTACCCTTGATTCATATGGCCCTTAATAGTGGGTGCTTAGGCCTAAATAGAGGGTAGTTGGAGGGTCTATCAAAGAGCCCCGCCTGTCCCTTTCTTGTGCTGAGGAAGCCTGGATGAAGGAGTTGGCAAGCAGCACCCTGGCCTGTTAATGAAGAGAACAGAGATTTGGTCATAACTTGAAATCCCAACCTTTGCAAACCCAGCCCCCCCTCCTTGTTTTCTGAGGCTTACGAGGCCTAAAGCCTTTGACCAAAAACCTAAACCCTAAACCCAATCCTAAAGCTAAGAGCTGCAGGCCCTAAGCCTAGAGAAGTGTCCAGGCCCTGTGGAAGCCACTGAAGTGAGCTATGGAAGTCTTCTGGCTGCTTGGGCTGCCTTAAAGATGTAAGCCTACCCTTCAACCCTAAACTGTAAACCCTAAACCTTACATTTCTATCCCACCCTAAACCCTATACCCTGCACCTGATACCCTAAACCCTGTGGCTATGGTAACGTCCCTGGCTTTGTGGAGGAGGGTCTGGGCTTCAGGGCTGAGGTTAAGGATTTCTCTATGGCAGTG